TCTCTCTCTCTCTCTCTCTCTCGCTCTCTCTTTTTCTCTCTCTCTCTCACACACACACAGACACACACACACACACACACAAAGAGAACAATATATACAACTTTTGTAACACTTTTCAATAAGGTTTTAGTTTTTAACATTATATAAGTTAACATGAACAATATTTATATAGTATTTATGAATCTTAGTTAATATTATGTTCAAAATTGACTACTACATTATTAATTAAAATGTATAGTTAATGTACATCAGTTACTGTACCATGAACTAACATAAACTATTTTTTAATAACACAAATAAATACAGTAAAAATATGTTGTTCATACTTAGTTTGTTAGTTGTGAATTAACTAATGTTAAAAACTATATTATTTAACTATATTAGTTAACATGAACAACAATTATATAGCATTTATTAATGTTAATTAATGTTAAGTTAAAAATGTTTTAATACATTATTAAAATTTAAAGTTGTACCTTAACATTAGTTTATGTACTGTGAATTAACATGAACATGAATATTTTAATGTTAGTTTTAACTAACATTAAAAAAGATTAATAAGTAATCTAAAAATATATTGTTCATTGTCAGTTCATGTTAGTTAATGCATTAATTAATGTTAACCAAAGAGACCTTATTGTAAATTGTTGCCAACACTTTTTATGATCTACAACCTTTTATTAAAATTATTTTAATGAAGTTGTGAAAATTGTGAAAATTACATAAAACAAAGTTACCAGTAAAATACATATTATATATATATTGTGACGAGCTCACATCGCTCACATCAGCGTTGCCCTGGAAACGGACGAGGAACACCTGCACACGCTCATCACGGGCTGATTGGTCACAGCTGAGAGTCATCAGCCCACGGCCAGATAAGCCGCGTGAGGCCCGAGGAAAGGGAGAAGAGATGCTCTCCCAGCAGCTGAAGTCTAACGTGTTGTCTCCTTTACATTCCAGAAACCAGCCCGTGACCAAGCAGCCCACACACGAGCGCCGCACGGACTCACCGACACTGGAACACGCTCACGGAGAAGCACCGACTCACGCACGGAGAAGCCTCGACTCACCTCAGGACCCAGCGCACTCACTTGAGCACTTTCTCTGTGAATAAATCCACCCTCCGGGGTATTTATTTGAGCTCTCCTTGTCGCGTGTTCCTTCCACCCCGTTACATAATGTTAAATATATTTATATTTAAAAAAAAAAAAAAAAGTTTCTACACAAAGAATCCTGGAAAAAAATGTATCACGGTTTCCACAAATAGGCTGTATTAAAAAAACGCTACTGTTTTCAACATCGATAATAATCAATAATGATGTCTCTTGAGCTTCAAATCAGCATATCAGAATGATTTCTGAAGGATCATGTGACACTGTATTTCAGAATATAACTGTTTTACTGTATTTTTGATCACATAATAGAAGCCTTGATGAGCATTAAAAAACATTTAAAAAATCTTACCGACCCCAAACTTTTGAAAGCCAGTGTGTATTTCCTTTGCTTACCAAAAATCTCTCTTTCCGAAAAGGATTTGAGTTTTTTGAGACAAGCGCAAAGGACAACATCAACGTCAAGCAGACTTAAGAATGCTTGGTGGACATCATTTGCAACAAGATGTCAGACACTCTTGAGGCCGACCCTGCCGTAACCACGGGAACACCCACTACCAG